CATCACCCTAAACCCCAAACTTTAAACCCTAAACCTTGAACCCTAAACCCTAAACCCTAAACCCTAAACCCTAAACCCTAAACCCTGAACCCTGAACCCTGAACCCTAAACCTTAAACCCTAAGCGCCATGAACCCTAATCCTCTAATCCTCTTCCCGGAGGCTCCAAAGTGGCCCGAGGATGGCCGAAGTATGGTACTACTTTCCAGACTTCTCCCTAGGGTTTAGGGTTTAGGGTATAAAGTATAAAGGTCACAAGAGTGATGAAGACCACAATCCCGCTTTAGACAGTATAAAGGTCACAATACTAGCTTTTGTGATTGTGCTTCACAGGCATCAGATAGATACTGCCCGCAGTCATTTACAGCTGGGAGGCAATTCTCTGAGAGACGGAAGACGGGGCGGGGCAGTGACCTAGGTATCCCTTAAGTCCTAAATCCCAAAACCCTAAGGCCCTGAACCCACCTTTGCAAAAAAAGGTAGCCGAAGCCCTGAACCTGAAACCTAAGGTATCACATCTGCCAGCATTTCATCCTTCCTCTGACTCGTCGGGAGAGCGTCTCGTCTTGAACCCTAAGCCTTAAAACCCTAAACCCTCAATCCCCTGGGAAACCTTAAAACCCTAAACCCTAAACCCTAAACCCTTATAGAAATCTTCGAAGGGAGAAGCTCCGGGCTGTTGTGGGGAGCTTTTTAGAAGGGCTTTCTGGGTGCCAACACAAGGGATGCTGTAGGGCTTTTGAGGGCCTTTGTAGGGGTGACATGGGGCTTGGAGGAAATACTTTTTACAAGGTTTTGTGGATCTTTAAGAAATGTTTGGTGGTTTCGGGCTGGGTCTGGGCTTTAGTATCGGAGGCCAAGCCAGGACGTCATTTGAGGCCTACTCTGAGCCCATCAAGGCCTAAACCCAGATCTTCAACCCCCCTGAACCCTAAACCCTAAACCCTGATCCTAAACCCTGAACCCCTAAACCCTGACCCCAAACCCTAAACCCCCAAACCACAGACCGTAAACCCCTAAACCCTGACGAACCCTGAGCCCGCTCAGCGGCGTCGCATGTCCAAGGGGTGGAGAGGGATAGTTCTCTAAATTAGGTTCCTTTTTGGGTTCAGGGTTTAGGGGTTTAGGGTTTAGGGACCAGGGTTTAGGGGTTTAGGGTTTAGGGACTAAATTAGGATCCCTCTTTGGTTCAGGGTTTAGGGGTTTAGGGTTTGGGGACTAAATTAGGAGCCCTCTTTGGTTTAGGGTTTAGGGGTTTAGGGTTAAGGAGTTTAGGGAGTTGTAGTTCTCTAAATTAGGATCTCTCTTTAGGTCCCCAATCTAGTACGACACCCCTTTTAAAACCCTAAACCCTAAACCCTAAACCCTAAACCCTAAACCCTAAACCCTAAACCCGGATCCGAGAAGGGACACTAATTGAGACAACTACCCATAGTTTTCGGGGACTCAGGAACTTGCAGGTCTCAGGCTAAGGAAGTTTCAGGGGTTTTAGGCTTCACTTACGGGTTTAGGGTTTAGGGTTTAGGGTTTAGGGTTTAGGGTTTAGGGTTTTAGGGGTCTGTGTTCCAGCCCCACCAGTCCCAAAACCTAAACTCGATCAGACCCAAACCCTTACTTAAAGGATCATGGGACTTTGTAAGTGGGGTTATAATTAAGTTACCATACTTATATTTACTTATAACCCCAATTAAGGGGCTTATAACCTTACTTACTAAGTCCCTTGATCCTCCAAGTAACTCTATAATCCCAAACCTTGAGCCATAGCAAGGTTGTTCCTACGTGGAACTCGTGGCGTCGGATCTGCAACCACCCGAGCCTGGGAGGGAGTTTGTGAATTCCCTTGCAGTCCTTATATATATATATATACACACATATACAAAAATACTAGCATATAAACTGACTTCCCCTGCAGGCCTTATATGGGGGCTGTCCTAAAACC